TAGACAGTTCAGTAGTTTCCTATCAATATATATATATATAAATTTGGTGTGTGTGTGTATGTATACTGTATGTATTATACATACACCAAATTAAGGATGAAATTTAAAATTAAAATTTGTAAATTGAAAAAGTTGTAAGAGATATTCTAAATAAATCTGTTAATGATGTAAATACAAAATTTTAAAGTTAAAATATTTTCTGTTTTCTCTGGATTACAAGAAGAATGCTACACACAGAATTTGAACATACAGCAACCATACCTTCTACATTAAAATATTTTAATTGTCAAAAAATTTCAAGCCTTTTAATATAAAAAGTTTTTTATAAAATTAGTTTGGGAAGAGATAGACTAACATGATCAGCTTTAAAAAGTAGTAAAAAATCATTTTTCAATATAGTCGCCATTTAATTTATAATTATACATGTTTCCAAATGTTTAATTTATTATGGCATTCTGTGCATGAAAAAACTTCCTAGTTTTACTATTTACAAGAATAAAATACAACTATTTAAGGAAACCAAAAATAGAGAAATGCTTTTGGATCTTTATTTGGACTCACAGTAACATTCAAAATGAATGCAGGATACATGCAGTGTTACTAAAGATTTTGAAAATTTAAAATTCATATATAAACTTATGTATGATTTCAGTAAATAAATTAGATGTAATTATATCATATTAAATAATTAATAAAAAAATAAATAAATGAAATAAACTTAAATGTGATATACAGAAAAAATAAGTATAATGAATTACAATAAAATATAGTCAAAATGGTAGCTGTTGCAACTCAGTGTAAAAAATATATGTTATGTTTATGGTGTAGGGAAGCATCCAAGTATTTGCTATGGTAAGAGTCGGTTACTATAGTCAATTAACCAGGTCCACACTGATGATAGATAATGTGCCTGGTGCATGTTGATCATGTTACATTGCTTGGAGAAGCAGCATGTAGAGTTATTGATATTCTAAGTTGTTCTTCACTCACAGATTCCTTAAGTATTAGAGGATAATTCCAGAACACTCTAACAGTATGATTTATGATTGTTAGAGTGCTCTTTAAGACGGCCTTTTATCAGCCACGTTGTGTGGTATGGGCCTGACATATCTGGGATGGATATCTCCAAAAAATTCCTGAGTTTTTTTATCCTTCTGGATCTCCAGAGTTGTAGGCTGACACCTTAATCACTCGGCCATCCATCCATGAAGTTGGAAGTCTAATGTGTTATCAAGTCTTTTTCTACAGTTTGTTGTTTTGACTATTTTCCAGTTATTAGTTATACTTTACAAAATTCTAATGCATAGAAGTACCACAACAGTGTCTTCTTTATTTTGAAATGACCTTTACACACTTCGGGAACACAGTCCTTACAGCAGAGTCAACCTTCTGCCGTAAGTACTGTGTGTTCCTGAAGTGTGTAAAGGACGTTTTGAAATAAAGAAGACACTGTTGTGGTACTTCTATGCATTAGAATTTTGTAATGTATCAATTTTCATTGTGGAATTTTTTAATTAATGTTTAATTTAAGTTACTTATATTGTAATGCACAACATGTGACATACTTCATATTGACCATTATTTATATTTTTAAATAACAATATGTCATTGGTTTTCAAAATAACAATTAAAAAAATAACAGGTTATTGAATAACAAGTTATCACTAGTTGATGTGTTATTAAATGTAGTGAATGTAAATTTAATCAAGGGCTGAATTTTTAGTCATTTCAGTTATATCAAGAATTTAAAGTTTTGTTGTATTTATAAATGTTACTCTTATTTACTAAAAATTTCTTTCTATAACATTTATTCTATAAAATTTTTATTCCAAATATTAAAATTTGTTAATTAAGTTTTTTATTATAGGGTTCAAGAATATTGGAGTTCAGCTGAAATCCCAAAGTATGTCAAATATATTTATTTATTGAATTATATAATTAAATTACAGTGTGTTGTTGCTATTTCAAATTAATTAATGTTAAAAATTTAGATGGTTGAAATTTGTATTTGGAAGTAATAAAAATACAATTTTCAAATTAAAAGTTAGAATATAATAGTTTTATTTAAAATTAATACTGAAGTATCTTATAAAATAAGGTCAGTTTTTAATAAAATTACCAGTTTTTATTTGATTATTAATTAAGAATGAAATTTTGAAAGTTTTTATTTTAAATTGGATAGAGTTCTCTTTGGGTTTCAGTTCAGATTATTTGGATATTTGAATTACTAAAAGTGTACTGTATTATTATAATTAAAAATTTATTGGTTGTTGCAATTTTTAATAAGTATGAAGTCTGATAAATTAAAGGAACAATTAAAAACAGCTTCTGACAGTTATTTTGAGGTGAAATCTTCCCATCTTTACAGTTAATAATAGGATCTTTCAACTGAAAAATAATATAATATTCAAAATATTTTAAATGATTTTAAAATTATCTGAATGATTCACTTGTCCCCTCTTGTAAATTTTTAATCAAAAATCCCTCAGGCTACAATCAAAACAGCATCAAAACTATTATTTTAATAATCAAAAAAATCATCAAAATAATTTTTATTATTAAAATTATCTATAACAATTATTTTCACTCTTCAGACATTTAATTTCATCCATAACAAGGTAATCTTTACCTCCATTGGAAGCCTTACATTAGACAGTTCAGTAGTTTCCTATCATTTACTGTAAAAATGATGGATAATTAACCAAGTATTTGGATGATTATGTCTTGATTTATTTCCATGATGAACAACTGATTTCAGATTTAGTTTATAAGTATATTTAAATTTAAAAAATTTTGACAATATAATATTCTCATTAATTAAAGTGAAAAAGAAATAAATTATTTTTAATTGTATTTAAAGTATTACATTATTACAAATGGAATTTAAAAGTTTGTTTGAGGACTTTAATGTTTTTATGCTTATTGTGGAAAATATCAATTACATTATTCAATTATTGTTTTATATCAATTTAGTAATTACATTAATTTAGCCCATTTAACATTATTATCCATAGCTACTGCAGTTGGAGTATTATTTTTGGTTTCTATGATTCTTTATTATAGAACCTTTATATTCTCTAAATATTTCTCAGATTCTTGTTTGCTCTTAGTGTAGAGTGACTCCTCATAAATTTGTGATTCAGACTTTCAGATCCCAAATAGCATATTGGATATTTTTCTCTTTTATTCTAAATTAAATCATATGGAATCAACTCTTTTTAATTTGAAAAAACAGTTTGAAAGTTTGAATTATCTGCTTTTGAAAATTAAACTAGTTTTCTGCAAGTATCTATTATTCAGTAGTATTCCATATTATTTGGTAATATCACATTTTTTTTTACTTTTTTCTCCACTCCTTTAATCAGTTTAACTTAACTAAAGATAAATTTTGTATACATATCAAGGTTAAACATCATAAAAACATAATTCAAACATAAAAACATTCATGAAACTTGAAGTAAAATGTGATTTTACAGAAAGCATTTGTTTTGGAAATTCTCTGAAATGCGTGTATTCTATAAAATATCACATCACATTTTACTCCACATTTCATGCTTGAATTATAAAATATACTAGCTTCAATTATCCAAATTTGTACCAGAAATTTGAATTAATTATTTTCAACATTAATTGAAATACAGATTTCAAAGGAATAAATAATGGGTTTGAATTATCCAATAATTCCATTACAATTTAAAAATATATATTGTAATTCAAAATAACCAGATTTGATTTTATTCATTTATCATTTACCATAAGCCTACTAGATAATCTCTGTAGTATGTGAACAAAGGGGTAGAGTGCCAAGCTTGTCCCACTTATCGGCTTCTTTGTCAGGGACGGTCTATGTGGTAAACAAGTAGGAGGGTAGCGAGGTAATGATAAGATGTCAGTCGTACTCAAGGATGACACATAATTACATATAAGAATAACATATTTAATCAAATATAAAATTATACAAAGCGAATACAAAATGAAAGGCTACAGAAATTGGAATAATCAAAAATAATTCTAAATCACGACAATGATTGATCCATTTGTGTCGGTAAATCAGCTAAGTTCTGGGGCCTTTATCTGTTTCAATATTCTGTAAGTTAAACTAGCCTTAATCTAGTTTATAACTAAGAGAGAGTATAACTAACTAAGAAAGACCTCTGAGAGAGAGAGTTTACAAATATTTCATCAATACTACCTCTGCATTCCCAATCTTGTTTCATGGCCATCGGTAATTATGGTGAGGTGGTGACAAACAGAATGGCGGTATGGGTCTGTTGATGTCTGCAGTGGATGTCCACCCGGAGGACTAGGTCCAAGCCCTTTTTATACCCATCCTAGAGGGGAAACTATCGGGGGGAAATTCTGGTACAATCCCATCTAAGTTTCATTGGTGTCCAGGTTTTGTTTATGTTAATTGTCAGAAATTGAACATTTCTTTAAATTTATTATTTCTTTTCAGCCGTTATGATTACTCATTTTACCTCATAAATTTGATAACAGCTGTCAAACCAACTGAATTAATTGCTGGAGGTGACTAAGGTCAGTTTGTCTTGCAACCTTAGTAATAATTGTTACTTTGTATGATCAGATGATTGGTTTTATGATTGGTTTTATCACAATCATACAAAATAGGAAGTGTGGGTTGTGTTTTTCCCTTTTCCATTTGACCTTTTGATTCAATTTCTACATCTTAAAAATTATATTCTTAAATTATTTAATTAAATTTTTTTTTTCTAATTATTCTCTCCCTCTTCAGATTCTCACAAGTATTTTTGCAGCATCTGTATCTCTTACACAAATTATTTTTGTTTCAAACAATTTTTAGTTTTATTGAGTTTATATGAAGAAAAAATCTATTTCCCAATGTTATCAATGATTTTTCTAAAAATCCAAAATATACTTAATCTCTTTGGATAAGTTTTATTCATCAAAATGATAATTTTTTGCCTTTATAAATAAATATTTAAATATATAAGATTTTATAAACAGATTTAAGAGACATAAAAGATATGCATGCTTTAATATAAATAAGCATGTGTTAAGGTTCTCTTATATGCACATGTTTTTTAATTTTAATATCATAGTCTAAATAGAGAGATGTTCCAGATCTACCTGAACCAACTTGATTTCTAACCATATTAATATTAATAGCCAGAATAAAATCTTGGTTATATTTTCTTTCCATTTTAGAAGACCAACATGTTCTGTATCTCTACATACAATAAGATATGATTAAAAAAAAACAGTTTCTATAAATTATATCTTCAATTCAGTGAGGTTACCTACATGGGAGGATCTAATTGTGTAAAGTACTATATTATTTTTCCGACTTTTCCAACGATTAACGACACGACTGTGTGCCGGAAATAGCTGTTCCCTAACGGGTACTTTACGCGGATTCGCGTTAGTATGCCAGGCCTGGTCTTTTAGCGTGCACCGAAATTAAATAATGACAAAAGTTGTCAATAACAAATCAAATATTTAATAAAAGTTCTAGTAATAAACTATATACAATATTTAGTAACAATCAAACAAAATTTTATTCAATGAAAATCAATAAGAATCAACCCGACAAAACTCCAATCAATCTAGTTTCTAACTAAAATCTATTCCCCTTTGGAATTCGACAAAATTTAAAGACTTAACTTATATACAATAATTCTTATGAATTAAAGATCCTAATCATCACCTCAATATACTAGGAACCTATTTCCTCAACTCTCAAGACTTTCTCTATTTATCGATCCACAAATCGAATAACTTCAAAATCGCCTTGGAACTATTTGATCCTATCGGACACCTCTCTTTCGTTCTGCTACAAAGCTCACCAAGCTCGTTGCTATCTGGAGTTCACCTCGTTCGTCTTCACTTGACGTTCGGTTTTTATACTGTGAGGTGACGTCACAATTCTGAATGAGATCACTCCCCTCATTTACATACTTATTCACTAACAATAAAAACTTTTCTATTTGTCTGGCAGCCTATTTTCCGACAATACTCGCTAACCTTTTACATTATTCTTTTTGACAATTTTTGGGATGTTTTATTCTTTTAAGGTTTAGCAAATTTAAGATGTGCGTGTGGGGTCTTCTCCCCCCCCTTTTCTCGGTGCGGACTTACTTTTTTCCACTCGGGAATGCAAGTGTGCGTGAGTTTTTTCTACGGCGCTTTTCTCTCGTTGGTGAGTTGGTTTCTCTTCTATTTTTAAGTTTCTAAGGTGAATGGTGAGGAAACCTTCGTCCTAACAAAACATAAGCCCCAAACAAAAATAGAATAATAAGCAAAATAAAAGTAAATAAAAATAATGCTCGGACTTGATTCCTTACAATTGGTGCATCTTTGGCTTGTAATAAAGTAACCTTGATATTTAAAATATAAATAATAAATGATTGCCTTTCCGTTTTCTGGAATATTTTTATCCTAGAAAATATAATCTAGCTTTCCTTTAGATTCTGTGCTAGTTCTATATGCTTGTTGATTTAAAGAGGAATATAGTGCTTTGTAATACAAAACAATGATTATAATACTGTACACTCAATCTCATGCAAATCACTTTTTTCGAGTGTTATGCAGAAAATACTTTCTTTTGTTAATCACTGACTATAATAATTATTATCAAGATGGCAAACATGCTGAATCAGTTATAAAAGTCAAATATTTAATAAGAACTTTTAGAATTATTTATGTTACAAATCACCTTCATCTTTATTTATTAAACTAGCAGATGAACCCGGCGTTGCTCGAACAAAAATGATAGCAAAGATTAAGATCATTAGATTATAGCCAATCTTACCCGTTTTCACCTAGTGCAAGAATTAGGTCCCCCCTCTTCCGAGACTAATTAGAAAATTTTTAGATATGTGCTTACCACACTGGGATAATGATAATTAAGATTTACAGCAATCACTAACCAGTACGTAGTACCACTAAGTGATAAATAACAATACGTTTTCGTAACCCCTTCTGGGTTCTTCTAGTTTACTAAATTCAAAAAATAAGTTGGATCTTCTTGAATCATTCATAAATATAAATTTTACATAAAATCTAACATTAAGACTAAGAGTTTGAATAAAGCAAACTTATGTGCATGCGTTCCCCGTGTCAACTTTATATACTACAAGTTCAGACACATGCACTGACGTGTATGAATGTGTCAGATGCGTTTTGTCCCTCACCACCCACTGACACCAAAAATATAACGCTTACCTAGATGATATCTTTTAATTTATATGAATGTTTAACGGAATAATATACAGCCTATGTCCACACTGAAGGTCCATTCTAAATATTGGTGAAATAATTTTTGAAATCAGATGAATAGTTCCAGAGATTACCTCCTACATCCAAACTTACAAACTTTACCTCTTTATAATAGTATATATTATGTGTGAGACAGATTAGTTATATCTGTTACATCCCACTAATGACTACTAATTATTAAAAACTATATTAAAAATGAAGGAACAGTTATTGTAAAGGATTTGAAATAGTTTGCTATGAAATAAAATTTATTTATTATTTTATTACAGTCCTTGCTGTCAAGAAGAATTATACAATTCTTCAACTTTAGATACAGTGTTAACTCCCCATCTTAATAGGAAAGCCATTGTAAGTCAAATTTTAATGTATTTTTTATATTAGTTTTCTAAGTCATAAGATATATAGTAAACTTTTATTATATATTATATTAATATATACAATTCACTCTCACTAATCCAATTAATTATTGTGTGGGATTGTTTACATGTTATTCATGTCAGTTCAAACAGGAGTTGACTCTAATGATGCTGGATTTTGACAATTTTTATGAGTTGGTTTGTTTTGCATCCATAGCCATGCCAAAACATTTTGCAAAGTTTTAATTTCTGGTGATTTTATAATATCCAAATATTTTTAATTTTTTGGATAATATAATTAAAACTTTTTGGAAAAGCCATTTACTTCAACATATATATCTCAGATGTTAATTGCACTACAGTCGACCCCCCTATAATTACGATTCCTATAAAACTACGAAAAAATATACGTATTTTGGAAATGTTGAGTCGGATTAGTGTAGAATCGATTAATTTTATGGAAGAAAATCTTTCAAACAGCCGTAGTCCGTAAACTTGACACGTGTCGGGCTGTGATTGGAACGACTTGTAAGAAATCGGATTCCTAATAAATTGGAACGTATCTATATCTTATAGGGGGGTCAACTGTATATGGAGATGCAGTTTGTTGCATTTTGTAGGGCAGGGAGCAATAGTTCATAGTTCACTTTGATACAAAATTTTCAAATGTTTAATGTTCAAAGTTGAATAGCTGAAAACATCTTCAATTTTGCTATTTTCACATATTTTTTCCTCATGCCCTTCTTAGAGTATGAGTAAAAATGAATGGTTCAGGATCTTCAACGTCCTTGTAACCCTCTAAGCTTAAAATTTCTTCCTTCTGCAGACTCCAAATGTCTTCATCCTGATGATTTCTGCAAACATTGGCATTGCTGCATGGTATTCTCTAATTTTCTTAATGATAGATATCATAAATCTTCGTGCAAATGATTTTTGCTCTTGTTTTGATGAATTATCAGATACATAACAACATATCATTCCTGTATTTCTGAGCACCCACTCATAAAGATCTCTTGGAGTTTTTATTAAGGTACAGACATGAGCTGGAGATTTGCATGAGCAGTCAATTAATGTACCATCTAGCCCATTGCTTGGTCTTTTGCTGTGTGATGTTGCAAAAAAGTGCCACTCTAGCAATTCCAGTCTTCATGGTGGAAAAGCACATTGAACAGATTGTATCAGTTTTTATATTGGGAGGAAGCTCTATCTTAGAAATATTGCATCTTTTTAATAGTTTTGTTTGGGTCGAGATTGGCTGATATTCATGATCAAGCACTTTTTTCGCCAATTCCGTTGATGGTCTACTATTTAGGATGTCCTCTTGATGTTCAGTGATGCGAGATATTAGCATTCTGGTCGTGGCTCCTATATAAGTAGTTTCCTCTCCTGATTGATGAGACATCGTTGAATTGAATGAAAAATCGGGAGTTTATCAAATTCCATTAAAGCATGATTAATCAGGAGAGGAAACTACTTATACAGGAGCCACGACCAGAACGCTAATATCTCACATCACTGAACATCAAGAGGACATGCTAAATAGTAGACCATCAACAGAATTGGCGAAAAAAAGTGCTTGATCATGAATATCAGCTGATCTGGACCCAAACAAAACTATTAAAAAGATACAACATTCAAAAAGAACTTTTTATTTGGGAGAACTTATATATATCTTGGAAATAGATGACTTTCTTGAGATTTGGCATATAAGCAGGAATGCTATAATTTAGTGCTGGAAAGAATGCATGGCACCTGTGCTATTGGTCAGTGAAGCTGAGATGATTATGAAATCCAGAGGAACATCATCATCATCATCTTAAGGCCTATAATAACAGGAAAAGAGATGCACTGTCATTTGGGCATTACTCCAGTGCACACCTTGCACTATCCTAAAATACAAAATGATAGTTCTTAAAGAAGTCCACTACAACTAAAATATCTCCTACTTATAGTCTGTCTCACACTGACTTAACCTGTCCCGTGTCATTCCTGCATATTTTCATGTTGACCTCATTTGATCTGACATATTGACTCTGAATATATTCGTTTCTGCATCGGAACGTTTTTTAAACATCGCTTGTATGGAATTCCAAAATTAGTGACTCATATCAAAAGAATCATTATGTTATCTAGTTTTTGCACAGCAGAATATTACAGTAATAGTTGTTTACAAGAAATCACAAAGGAAAGTAGATTGTTAGTTTGTCTCTGTTTTGACATGGCATGGCTGGGAGAAATAGCGCTCTGAATAAGTCAGAAATGATCGGATATTTATTTAATTTAGGTTCTGATGAGTCTGAATTTTCAGAAAGCAACGACAAATATATACAAAATGAAAATATAAGTGATGGTAGTAGTGATATTGATCACAAAATACCAACTACAAGTGGATATAGAGGCCAATCACATGGTTGTACTCAAGGAAATAATAGTGCAAAATGTCCGTGATTTAGTAGTGATGATAGTTGGATCTATACAAACTTCAGAAGCCTTCAAGTAAACAGTTTCACAAGACAAGCAGGAATTCAATGTAATTTACAGTGATGCTACACCATTTGACTGCTTTAGTGTCTTTTTCGATGATGAACTTGTGGACAAGATCGTTGAAGAAACGAACAGGTATGATGATAGTTTGATGAACTGTGACGATTTACAGGAAAATAGTCATATAAAAAACTGGAAACCGACAACAAATCCAGAAATTAGAGAATTTATAGACTTATTATGGTCACAAGTATCATTAGAAAACTGCACTTAAGTATATATTAAGTGGTGTAGAAAAAGCATTTGAAGATACTTTTTCTACAACATTTTTTTGAGTGCAATCTCGAGTAACGGCTTTCTGCTTTTATTGTCATGTTTGCATTTTACAGACAATAATCAAGCCTCAGGTGGTAATGATAAACTGCATAAATTACACAGTGTTATTGATCATTTTTGCCACAGGTTCAAATATGCTTACATCCCAGATGAAAATGTGTGTGTAGACGAAAGTCTTGTTATTGAAAGGCAGACTGGAATTTAGACATTATTTAATGAGCAAGCAATTATTTTGGCATAAAAAGCTTCAAAATTTGTGAGTCATGAACAGGATTTGTTTGGGACTTTTTAGTTTACATGGGAGCTACGACAGAATATGGAAATTTTGAAGATGGGCAAGTGGCTCAGTAAGAATCACAAGGGTTTTTTACAGAGGTTTTTCATCTCACTAACATTAGCAAAAACGCTTCTGGATAAACAAACATATGTATGTGGAACTGTGAACAAAACTCAGATTGGAATGCCACACAATTTTCCTGATCGTAAATTGAAGAAAGGGGAATTTATAACGTGTCAGAAAGATGAATTGTCTGTGTTTTGTTGGAAAGATAAAAGGGATTTGACAATTCTAAGTATGATGAGTAACAACAAATTCTCAGATTCTGGTAAACTTAACAGATTAGGAGAAATAATAATGAAGCCAAATTGTATTTTAGACTATAATTGTAATATGGGTGGAATTGATCTGTGATGGAGTGATACACAATTATCTGTGCATGAGAAAAACGGTGAAATGGTATAAAAAGGTGTTTTTTTATGTGCTGTATGAGAAGCTGGGGGCACAGAGGACTTCCCTTTGTGCCAATTACATGGCAACATGTCAGCAAGACCTGCTCACATTGTCTGGGGATGGCTTTTATGACGATGGAGGCCAAAAATCACAAGAACAAAGATTGCAAAATCTTTGTTCTTGTGAATTGTCCTGTCGGGATGATGACACCAGTTAGGATGAGTTTAGGATAATGTAAACTGCATCCTAACTTGCAATTCAAAAGCAGTTTACATGTAGGAGGTCTCGTCAATGAGTGAGGAGTGCCAAGTAGGTCAATAGGAGCTGTGTACTGAATGAGACAGACAGACAGGTGTTAACTATAACAAACAACAGTTTAATAAAATTTTAAGTCTAGGATATACATAAGAATTCCAAATGATATGGTGATTAAATACAGATAACATACGATTATATAATGGGGCGCGACTATTCTGCTTCCTAATGCTATGCCTGTGCACTATACCTAATTTCTCGAATGCAGAGAGAGAGTTTACATGATCTACCCAAAATATCTCTAATCTGTGTGTAAGGTAGGTTGATGTCTTCCCTTTTTTCTTTTTGTATTGCGAATTGTTGATGATAATGGCCTGGAAGGAGTCTGTTCTATGCAGTGTCCTGGAAAGTCCATCAGTATTCACCGGATATGGCCAACAAGGGCAGGTGAATAGAGCTCTTCGATGCTCTCTGAGGACAAACACTACTTCATTGGTACGTTAATCCCTTGTGACGAATGCTTCAAAGTGTAGGTGCTTCATCCTTATATACGAATTTTCCTGGGAAAATGGTCATGTGCTTGACTGTTGTTTAGAAACGAAGGTTGATTTTGCAGGTGCTAGTTCAGCGATGACTTGCATTGATGCAATGGTGTCACTTACATTCCTCTCTTTTCACAATTGGATGTTATCATTTTGCAACTGACCGTTAAGATTCTCATTCATTGGTTGACAGAAGGGCGTCATTTAATCCATTTTCAAGTGATGTTTTTCTAACGAGCTTGCCAGGGAATTAGGCTTAGGAAATTTTTCTAATTTTTCCAATTTTTACACAACATCAAACCTGCACTCTCACATGCTGGATATTGCACTATATAATGCTTGTGTTTTGTATTGCCAACATACAAAAAAAACATATCATTTCTTGATTTTCATATGTCTGTTATTAGAGAAGTGATGGAAAAGTTTCACACAAGCAGACGTATAGCCCGCCGTGGTTGACCATCACATGAAAATCTGTTAAGGTTATCTGAAAGGCATTTTCCTACTTTTATATCAGCAACAGGAAAAAAAGCATCCAACCAGAGTTTGTAAAGTCTGTTCAGCAAACAAAAAGTGAGTAGAATTATGTTATCAGTGTAAACAATGTTCCGTTCCACTATGCATTGTTCCTGGCTTTGAGATTTA